GTAACAAGTGCCACGCTAGTAGTAACAGGTGCCTTACTAGTAGTAACCCATCAAGGAAGAACTCCTTCTCAGCGACCCCAGCGACCGATACGATGCGACACGAAGGCGAGCGGTGCGGCTACGGCTGTGCCAGTGGCAACGGCGCCAGCCAGACTTGCGCCAAAGGGCTCCTGGGATGCAGTGGGACTCGCGAAGCAAGTCAGTCGGTGAGCTGTGTTCTTCTCATTTAAATGCCTGCCCTTACTCAATTCAGTAGGCGTCCATTGAATTGAGTAAGGGCTAAACAAACTACTAGGATCTACTAGGCGACCTGCTACTAGCTAGGACGCAGGATAGCTCAGGCTTCTTCAAGCCTTGAAGAAGCGCTCACAGTATTCATTTGGTTCCTAGATTCCAAGGGTGAGGTGGTCGTCCACCCATTGTGCCCAAACCCATGATCAAGAGCTAGCAGCCAAACATGTCGTGCTTGGTGATGGTCAATTGGTTTGATGGGTTTCCGTAAATAAGAACCTATATAGAAGAGAAATATGTGATCTTGTTTTGTAAGGGACTCAGGAGATTCTTTCTGGGGATTGGTCTTCTTTCATGTTGGGTGTTTGGATAATATCGTTTTGATCCACGTACCGCCCCACAAAGCATCCAGACATCTATATAGGTAAAACCACTACTCCGTTCACGTCCCAAAACGTCGGCCGCCGGCGGGGCCGCCGGGATCGTTTTTTTTGTTCACGGCACGATGTGATCGTCAGAACTTCCATCTTAAGCTTCGTTCGTAACAAGTGCATCGCTACTTGTGGCAAAGGGCATCGCCACTACATAGTAGCAAGAAGCTACTAGGGGCGCTGCTCCTGGCATTACTACTAATAACAATGCTTGCTACTAGTAGCAAAGGGTATCGCTGCTGTGATTGGACGTGTCCGCCGTCGTCACGACCGCTTTACGGAGCCCATCCTTTTTGCGTTCTTCGTGTTGCAAGGGTAGAGCAACGGCTTTTCTTCCGAGCAACCGAAGCTCAGCCCTAGATTCAGTAAGAATCCCGAGTTGCCTACCAACCGGCAATTGGAGTTGACACTTTTGAAGGTCAATCTCTTTGGGCATGATTATGTGGAAAGAGGGTACTGGTACTGCAATTGGTTTGATTTTATGTGACTTGCAATCCCTCCCTCCTAAATCAGAACAACCTTCCAGCTGCAAACCAGCTGCAAAGTTGGCACATCTTGAGAAGGGACAGTCCAACCATGTCCAACCCACTCTCACTTCAACCGTTGACCCAGGTTGACCGTTGACCCATGTTGACCCACCATTGCTGCTGTGTCGCGAAAAAGACCTGTGACGGAGCCGTGGTCAGGTGCCACGGGGAGGAGTGTGGTGCTCAATGTGAGGGTGCTGCCTGTGCGGCCAGCTGCCAGGGTCCAAAGTGTGCCTATGAGTGCGGGCACCCAGATATGGGGGATGTATAGCGATGTGGGATGAGGGTCATGAGGGTGGGTGAACCGATGGTGACATGGGGGTTCGAGTCTATCGTCCAGGTCTAGTCAAGCAGCCTGGCCTCCGGACGACTGGGCGACCAACGGAACCTGGCCTCCAGTGGATTCCAGTCGAGGCAACGAGCCCTTTGGTCCGGTTTTCAGACCGACCGTATTACAGATCTGCCGCTCGGTCGGTTTCAGACCCTCAGATAGAGAAGTAGATCCCCGCTATAATGATAAGATGCTACAAGAATGTATTGGAAGGCAATTTCCATCGAGTTGGGGACCACTATAGAGGAGTGAAGAATGTGCTCCTTCTCGAACCTCAGACGGACACCTAGGAACATGTCATCCGTGCAAGATCTTTCTGGCGACCACTCGCTCCAGATGATAGATCGATGGAGATATACTGAAGATTTTGCGATGCTGAATGATGCTGAATGCTTCGGTCGATGTGGCTAATATCCTTTCTCCAACAAGACATTTGATTGTCAACATGGAGACAGTGGTGCAAAGCCTCATCCGGACATCGGCGGATTTGGTGGCCTAGTCTTCTGGGCCGCCACCGTCCCATGAGAACCACCTTTTTCAGACCGCTGAGCCCAGAGTGAGGCGGGCAAGCACTCTGCCCAACTCTCACTTCCCACCCCGATCTAGAAACCATATAGATTTATATAAAGATACATAAATACTATATATAAAGTTATAACTATGAAACATTATGAAACCATCTAGTCTAGTCTAATAAAACCAATTCAAACCATAATAGAAGCAACAGGAAGCGAAACCAACGAGTGGCCGGTGGCCGGTGGGAACCCAGCCCTCAGCTCAAGCCCTCCATCATCGCGGGAACCCGCGGCGGTTTGCCAGGTGTTCTGGTCAGCTTGGGGACCGTCTTGGGAGGGGTGACTGGGTGGGTCTGACACCGCCCGACCGGAGATGAAAGTCCGCCTGGGGAGGTGCGGTTGAAGTTTCTATCTTCCAGAGGTCTGCCCACTAGCTGGATGTTCGACAACACAGGGTTAAAGTGCAGTTACTTAAGTCTGCATTGACACGCAGGCCACCCAGTCTGGTCCATGTTTGTCCTGAAAAAGATCAGGCTTGTGAATTGTGAGTTGTGACTGTGATTGACCCACACAAGGCAATATGGGATTCCATAGACTCTGGGTTTTGCAGTTGGAACCGCTCTTCGTTCACGGTCGTGAATCGCAGTTTCACGGCCCCCTGAAGCCCGGTGGTGGTTCGGGGCCACTCAGAACCTGCTGTACGTACTCAACAAGGCCCAGTGGTCTCACATGGTGTGAGCAATGGACCAGACATGACCGGACGCTAGATTCTGACTTGATGCTTGATTTAGCCCGTAATCACTCATGTATACGGGCTATATCAAGTTCTTATATGTTCTTATGATCAACATCTTCACCATGTAACTTGTAGTAACTCCAACATCTCAGCACCACTCGCCTTAGCCTTATTTAGCCTTTTGACTGCTCTGATCTCTGTTGCGACCGTCAGGATCTGCAGACCTGCGGCCTCGAGTGCGTGGGCACCATGTGCGCGGCCAAGTGCCAAGGCGCGAGACTCTCGACCGTTCGGGAGTCGAGGGGGGGCGAGTCGTCGGGATGGTCATGGCCATGGGTCCAAACCGGGGGGACGGGTGGTCAACACCAGAAATGAAGCGAATGGACCTTTTTGCAGGTCAACCTGCCCTGGTTTAGGGCTCCTGGGTTTGGACTCACAGCCACATGTTCTTCTTATTTTAACGAAGGCATCCACCCGCCCTCAATGAAGGGGAGGTCAAGGGCATTTAAATGCGCCAGATCGATCGGAGTTTTTGTTGTTTTTGGTCCCCGAGACATGGCTTTCTTATGCTTCCGTGACCTTGGACGCCAATGGGAGGTAGACTGAAGTGTAAGAGTCACTTTCAACCACCGTAAACGATCAGAATTTCCTTGGTAAAACTTTGAGCTTCAGTGAGTTCTCTCCCAAGCACGATCAAAGAAGAAGTGACCACCAATCCGACCACGACCTATCTCTCCTGACCTCTGTGAGGTGCTGAGTGTGCCAAGGGGTGCCAGGGCGACTTCTGTGGAAAGGAATGCAGTGGCAGCACAGGCAGGTGACCGGACAGGGCTTTTAAAGGCAAACGAAAAGCCCGAGCCCATTGCGAAGTGAAGGACGGAAATCGTTTCTATAGTCAATAGTCATCTTATATATGTTGCTTGGGAATTCGGAAGTTTTGAAGTTTATACAGTAGGTTTTTGTGCAGATTGGCTTCTTGGATGGAAGAGTTCCCTCTTCTTCAAACGGGTGTTTTCCACCGTTTTTTTCTCTTTGAGAGTACCGGTGGCAAGGTTTCGTGGCGAGGTGGTTTCGTCCCTGGTTGAGCTTTCCCCATGAAGGCAAGCTGAGAAAAAGAGATTGCGACTCGCACCATTTTCCATCATGCGCCTTTCAGCGCGTCTGTGTAGGTGACAAGTCTCACTGCGCGGCTGGCTGTGTGGGCCGCCGCTGCGCTGCGAAGTGCAAAGGACAGAAGACACGAGCGGGATGATCGAAATTTGCAATTGTATCCATGCATGGCAGAGAATCTTCGGTGATTGCTCTTCTTCTTTCATCTCTTTGCCTTTCCACGAGTGAACCATCAAGCTCATTGTTTCTTTCTTCAGGTTGAGTGCTAGGAAAGAACAGTGAACGCCCGACTATTCCAACTAGGTGAGCACCTATATATACCCCAGCTATCAACGTGACCTCGGGACAATATTTTCCTCTTCGATTTAGCTTTCTGTATTATACTTAAGGCTTAGTCGAAGCATGTCGAAGCTTCCGGAGATTCTAGATTGGCCAAGGAACCAGGAGCATGCATCGCAATAGAGTGTGTGCATCACGCTTTTGAGGATTGTGAGTGAGGTGGTTCCCCCTTCCACACTCTTCCCTTGCAGGAGCTTATTGCGCCGCTTGACGGCAGTGCCAGCTGCCAGCTGTTTTTCTGGATTCGGCTATATAAACCAATAATGATCCTGGACAGATGCCTGCCAACAATGTTTTTTTAAAGATCAATTTACAAAACGGTGGGTGTTGTGAGTTGTGTCTATGCAGGTGGGTCATGTAAACTGTCAGGCTGATGATGGACAATTTATGTTCAATCAAGTCAAAGTTAGATACTCGCATGAATTCCTCGGTCCAGATGGCTTTTGCTTAGGGCGCGTCTAAAGATCCCCACGTCCTATGGCTCATCAGGAAATGATCAAGATTCAGGCTGCAGTAGACGCTAAAGATACTGTAGTAACCAAAATAGTACCTGCAACTGTAGAAGGTCACCAGCTCCTTTTGACACGGTCTCAGCCAAGAACGAGAGTATGAAGGAGAAGAGTAGACACAAAGTCCAGGTTTCCTGCCCGATTCACAGAAACCCAGCTGGCCATGCCCTCGGACCCAAGGCCGCCGGCTGCGAAGGAGTTGGCTGCGCCAACGGTTGCGAAGGCGTTAGCCTCGGGATAGCTCTCGGGCGATGGGTGGGATTAGAGGTCCAAAGCAAAGGGATTTGCTCCAACGAGAAGCAATCACCCCTTGCCACCTGGCCGCCGAAAGAAAATCCTCCGTTGGCCGTGCTTTTTGTTGATGTCGGTGCCCGGCCACCACGGTCATAAGAGGGTAGTTGTCCAAAAAAGCTCATCCCAGGGCAGTCTGGTCACTTGTGACGGGAGCCACAGAGCAGGTGCCCGGCCACGAAGCGAGCGAAGCGAACGAACACCAGGTGACCATTGCGATCAAGGATGCAAAGGCGATCATTGCTCCAAAGGACCGGCAGCCAGAAAGGCAGCCCAGCCAGCGTGGCCTATTAGACCAGTCGCCATCATTAGTGTGCAGCCACTTTAGTTTAGCTATATAGTTGATAAATCACATCGGTGTATCTTTTTTTCTATTTTGTTTAAGAGGCGGCACCCGGGACGCAGCTAAAATCAGTAATTCTGCAAGGCAGCGCTAGCAAATTGGCTAGAAAAGCGCTAGGTTTGAATGCATTCCATATGAGCAGCATCAAAAGACCTCCATAATTAGAGTACACAACGGACTTGTTTTGGAGCTGTTCTTGAATAAGACCTGCAGTGTTATCCCAGGATTTGAGATTGCTGTAAGGGATTGCCGTTGTGAGTAGTCTCACCACATGGTTTATTAGAGCGACTGGGTGTGGTAATAGGTACTGTATAATCTCCATGCCTAGAGTTTTTTTGTTTTGTGCGGTGTGATTGTCGCTAGCGTAGCCAAATCGTTTGTGCAGTGTTTTGTGCGGTTTTGTCTCCAATCGTTTTCACGTTCGATTCATATTTGTTATAGACCTTTATTGTGGCAAATGAAGCGGCACCCATGGAGTTCCGATTTAATAACGGTTTTAGGCAAACGACGTGAACGACAGACCGTCCCATAGGGCGTGGCCCCGCTTTTGCTGGCAAGGCATTCTGGATGTGGTCGTGTTGCTCCACCTATGGCTGTGGCTCCGAAGCAACCCCCAACATCATCCCTGAACCCGTGCTGGTTTAACTACTTACTTCATGTTCATCATTGTTGGGATGTGAGCTGCGGGGGACCATGTATAATGATGTAAACAAAACAGTTTCTTGCAACTTGCCACCCCCGTCCTCTTGTCATAACTTTCATTCCTGGACTGGACTCCCCACTTGGTGTGGCCCAGTGAAAAGGCTCTTTGGACTGGAACTGGGTGAGGAAGCCTGTGAAGCAATATCCTCAGAGGATGATGCTCAGATCTCCTCAGCTCTCCTCAGCTACCTGAGTCACTCGTCGCCTCAGGAGCTGCGCCTGCATCCACGTGTGAAGAGGCAGGACAGACCCAGCGAAACTGAGCGGTTTGGTCCGAGCGGTTGGTCCGGGTGTCAGATGCAGACGGAGAGGTCAAGTATATGAGCCTACGATTGTTTCATGATGCGTCCGATGTGTCCAGAACTGCACTAATTATGTCGTAGATAACAATATTGCCTTGAAAAGAAGAGGCATGTTTGGCGAGGGACGGGAACCCATATCTATAGTTATAGTTTTTAGTCAAAACAACATATCCATAGCACAGTTCTTGGGCTGGCGGACTCAATGCCTGGGAGGCCTAGGGAAGGCATAATCCACGCAGGTGACTGAATGATAGGATCAGAAAAAGACTAAGACTAGGGGCGCTTTGTTTTGGAGGGGTGACTAGCCCCTTGCCTCCTGCCCAACAGACCAAGTTCCAAACAGACCAACATGTCACTTCTCGTTCGCCGATGAACAGTTACTGTGCGCTAAAGCCCCCTTCTTTCCATGGCGAGACTGAGAGTTGTATGGTGCAAGCTTTGCGCAAAACATGGTGAACAAGGCCAAGGTCGCGAGGTTGCAAAGAGGGCTTGCGGTTTAGCATATGCCTTTTTCTTTAAAATTCTACAGTGTTTGCGTTTGATTCATGGAACAAGGAGTGAGAATGTGTAAACCTTTGTGCATACTCTGGTGAGAGAGTGGATTTTGAATGATGTGTGCTCGTGCCAGTGACGCGCCACAGTTTTTTGGACGCCTCACTATTAATATCTCGCAGAGTCCAGCAGAAAAAGCCGCCGCAGAAGAGAGAAGCTTGATACAGCGCAAGTCATTGGCAGTCCGAGTCATTGTTTGCTTCGAAACGGACTTCGCAGACCCCGAAAATCGGCCAGTCGGCCATGCTTGCCAAGTTGATTGCTCAATCATAAGAACACATGAAAATGTTCAATCCTGCAAATACCCAGGTGCAGAAAGCCATCTGTGTTTGAGCCAAAGCTGGTATGCCATACCTCATGATATTGCTCATCATTGCTCTCCACTTCGCGTGGTTGGTCGGCTGTGCACAACGGCGGCTGTTCTCACCGAAAGGCCTTGGCTGCCAACCCTGGGCTGTGTGGCCTCAAATCCTCCTACAAGGATGAGGCTGGTACGGCACAGTCAGGTCCAGGTGGGGGTTGTGGTTGTTTGATAACGGAACATGATGGTGCTTTTGTGATGGTGAGACTCAGAATCATTCAGAATCCAACGTTCATCGACTGTTCCCCCTCACTGGAGCGCTGCATGGAGCGTTGGTGTTTCTTTGCTTCAAAAAGGTCGTCGAAGATGTGATATTCGTATCTACTCATTTTGATGTGGTGTCTGGATCACTTTCTGGAGCTGGAGGTTTTATATCAGTTTTGGGGTCCCACTTCGAAAAGGAATCTCACCGTTCCACGTGCTCCGTCTCCGGAACGTCGGCGTGGCCGGTGGGCGGAACGTCTCATCCGGCCGGTGGGTTTCCACCATCTCCATGCTGGACATGTTTCCTGCCTGGAAGGAACATCTGTGATGTAGTTGTAAGTAACTGCAACTGTAACACTGTTAGTTACTAATTCTTTTCAGTTCTCCATCATTTCCTTTGTCCGATCCATCGGCCTCGCACAGAGTCCGTGAGAGTCAACTGTTGATGGCCAACGGGTGCAGGTCCTTTTTGCCGGCGAAGATGCCAAGGATGTTTGTCAGAACCTGAGGGATAGAGACGGAAAGCGGCGATAGCTTGAGAGTACTGAAGCCGAGCAGACTTTGACGATGCTTTTACTGGTTGCTGCGCTTGATATCTTAAGTTCTGTTTGACATGCCTGTCCATCACAACCTATGCGAGATGCGGGCTAGCGATGTCTCTTCCACGATTGGAACGGCTATTTCCGCATTTGATGTTTTTGCAACCGCCGTGTGGACCTAAACTTCTTATCCTTCTCCTGGCTGCATGTTTGGACGACCAAGGCTGTAGCAAGACCGACTGCCCTGACGGGTATGAGGTGGGCGCTTGGTCACTTTGAGAGCGGGAAGCCACTGACTTTGCACCTGGTTGCAAAGCTGCTAGTTTAAAGAAAGGAGGATGAACGCTGTGTAGGCATGTTGATTGGCCGGGCCTCTTTCTTCCTTGCACTATTGTCAATATCATTCAAACTGTCAAGGGTGGTTGTCTGCCACGGAGGCCTGTGGCCTGTCTGCCACAGCAAAATCTAGAAATTGGTCGACCCTTCTTGACAGAATCATCTTCCCCAAAACTACTGACAGTTATGCTCCTGAGCAATCCACATCAATCCACAAAGGAACACATCGACCCTTCCATTTGGGCCGCTTGGACCACGCGCACATCGGGGACACGGACGTCCCGACACGTGACGGCCGGAGGGGTCGGAACGCCTGTTCGACGTGAAGGTCGAACGAAGAGGGTCATCACATGGAACGATGTCCACCCACCTGGGAGCCCCGAGGGGTCGTCCAACAAGTGAACGAGGTTCACCAGGTAGGTCGTACCCGCTTGGCTCCCCTGGCGCAATGACCCCACAGCCACCTGATGAGAGCTGGTTGTGCTCTTGGTGCCCCAAGTCCAAGCGAAACTTGCGGACGAGAGCGGCCTCTTTTTGGGCCGTTTCGGGGTTACGGTTACAGGATGTTACAGGTGGGTTGGTGAATGATTGTAGTACCCACGAAAAGGTCCATGCTTCCTTTTTTATTGGGGGGGTCGTTTTTTGGCAATAGCCATCATAGCTAATCGTGCACTGCTTCACAGCAGCGTTCTTGTTCTCGTCGTTTGCACCGCGTTTCGCCCAAGCCCTCCGCAGCTGGTGGACGGCTCCTGCGAGAAGCCCAAATGCAAGGGCACGTGCCTGGGACACCACGCGGGGGTACAGCGGGTCCGGGGTTCAGGGCTTCGGTCGCCGTCAGTGGTACAAACAAGGGGAGTGGTACAAGCATATCACTTCGGACACCTCCCTTTTGGTCATTGAACACATGTTTATGTCTTGGCTGCTATATACAGGGCAGTATTCATTTGAAGTTGTTTGAATGTGTTGCGGCTGCAGGCGTACGAGATAGATAAACTAACAAGGCCACTTTCTTATTATGGTCCTCAAATTAAAGGTTCAATGAATGTTAAAAATGAGAAACACATAGAAACACAAATTATCTATCGATGGTGTTGTTTGGCAAAATTATACCGATCCTTTATAAATTTGTGTTTGGCTGATTCAGGACATGCCACACTTTTCCACGGACAGCATTTGGCCACTTAGGGTTATGCAGCCCAGCAGGACAGTCTGGCAGGCTTTGCCGACTGCCAAATTTCAATGGGGGGAACAGGTCATCATAATGCAGGTAATCGTAGGGTTTGATCTTGAAATGTGTTTATATTTTCTTTTGCTGTATAGCATGACCCATGACCAATACTACTGCTTCGCCTGAATCGAACGGCTGGTTCAACTGCATCAACCGGAGGCAGGATGGGCCGACGCCGTCCGCCGTGTCATCTCAGGTTGGTGCAAGGTGAGGCACTCAGCAAGCAGCCGAGGCACGAGTGAAGCGAAGTGTGAAGAGTCCACTTTGCCGAAGTGGTATGGGCCACAATTCAGAGTCAGAGTGGTATGGATCATGTTGAAGACACAATGAAGACATGAAACTCTGAACCATCCCAAACACGGTGAAGAACTGGTGGACCCAACAACGGTAGGTATGATCATACTCCATGTTTTAATTTCCCAAGACTTAGAGAGAAGGATCGGCATTTGTACTGGAGTTGTGACGCTGTTGCGACAGTAGAACTACTAGAAGAGTTAAAAAAGGATCTTGAGCATCTAAGCCAATAACATTTGCGTTTGTTGATACTCTTCGATCAGCGCAGATGGGGGACAACAGGGCACTTGATGGGTTCTTGTTGTTCTTGAAGGTCTTGGATCTACTCCAGTCAGCTACTTCCAGTCAGTTGGACCTTCAAATGTCTGAAGGGAAATCGTGGGTCGACAACTATGGTGTGAGTCAAGAGATGATGTTTAATGTAGACTTGTGGTTAATAACCCCGCCATATGACATGAAGTGGTTTTGCACTCATCAAATCGGGACTTTGACGAATCACGTAATATCTATATCCGTCATCGGCTTTCGGTGGTTTCCAGAGGCGGTTCGCAGTCGACTGGGACCGCCCGCGGAACATCGTGGGACCGCCGAGGTTGTTACCTCAGCAGTTACTCCGAGTGCGAGAGCACTTACATCAAATACGAGTGCGGGCCCTGTGGGGCGGTTTCCCGGAGCCCATGCCGGAGGTCGGTGTTCTTACAGGTGTCCAAGGTTTGTCACCCATGGAGGATGGCCCCCCGAAAGAAGATGAGTTTCCTCTTATTCAAAAGTATATCTTCGACTTCCAAGGGAAGGTCTTGTGGTTCCAGCTGTGCCCCATGCGCTTGGGACCTTGACGTCGACCGTACCCTAGTTTTGGGGGGTGGAAACAATGATGTCCTGTAGATTGCCCCTAAAGTTCTAAAGCCATGGGCTGGGTCACCGAGCCATGGCCAGACCGACCTGCCCCGAGTAATCCAGTCCACCTATTTAAAACCGTGCCGCCCACCCCCCTAATAAAGAAACCTCGGTCGCATTTTTTTTAAATAGGGGGTCCCTGAAATCGGGGGTCCAAAATAGGGTCACCTGGAAAGAGTTTTTTTTTTTGGCACGCAGACTCACTGTCTTGTTGCCTCTTTGGGGTTGGGGGTGAAACCTCTCTCGACGACCCAAGTGGTCGGAGTGTCCTACCGTCTGCCGCCAAAATCGGACCGCATGACGGTAGGGAGATATGGATCCCACGGAGATTGGGCTGCCTCAAGAAAGACGTCATCTCCAAGCTCAATCTCCTCGGGATCCGGGCCGCCTGCACTCGCTTCTTTGAAGCTGTCTACGACTGCATGCGCTATGCCTAAGCACAGTCTTGGGGGGTACTCTTTCAGCTCACTAGTCGCAAAGGTACCCTCAGCCGTGCGGCCTATCGATCGAGTTGCAGGCATCTCGAACGATCTTTGTTCCTCAAGACGATTTTCCAGTGTTCGCAGGCCATGAGCCAGCAATGCTGTGGGCTTTGGAGATTTTGCCCCGAACTGTCCCTGCCAGACTCGGAGCTTTCTCATGGGTAGAAGCGCCAGCATTGCACGTAAGACCTTCAGGCGCCAGATTGACGCCAAACTGGCATCGTCTTTCGGTTCATCTGGGTGCTCGAGCAGGCAACTTGTTGCGGCTACAATGCAGTCAAGCACTAGGATGATCGTAAATTGCAAGAGCCTTGAGCCAACAAGGCATTGAGTATGTTCTCGCTGGCTCATACCGACCAGCCCCCAAGGTTCCTGACTGGATCGAAGAACCCTTGGCTGACCAGAACTACTCTCATCTTGAAGGCACACTCCTCTCGCTCGTGACCATGTTTCACACGGCGGACCTGCAATGAGTGCGAGTATGCGACCAGCCTTGATCATCTGTCTCAACCATGACTGTGCATGCGCATCTAGTAGGTCACATCGTTCATCGATTGCTAGGTCGAACGAAAGGCAGATCACTGAGTGACCTGTCTGTCTTGCAAGTTCCTCAATCGAATACTGGATATCTGCTTCGCGTCTGCGCCCACTGAACAAGTGAAGCACATACTTGACATTTTGTTTGGGAGCTCGGTCCAAGGATAAGGCACGGAAGTTGCAATCAACAACAAACGCTATGTTTCCGCAAATGAGTCCGTTCCAGTCGAGATGTTCCGCTGAAACTGGAATTTGCTGCCATAGTCCTTTCAGGACATCCCAAGCACGGCCAAAATATCTTCTATGTTCAGGAGAGCATATTGCAATGGTCTTGCTGGCCAGACGAATCGCGCCCTCCTGTTTTATAGATATTCTTGTCCGAAAGTGCGAAGCAAAAAGGATGCTGCGGTTTTAACGCCATCCAAGAATGAATGCAGTTCTTCTTCAACGGGAGCAAGGCTGAGAAGGTAATGTATTGCAGCATCCTCGAAAGCTTCGACATTTTCGACGCACGAAGCTTCATTGTGCATCATAGGTCGAAGTGTAGACCACCATGCTTTGGGTCCTGCACATTGCACCCCAGCTAGCGGCGGGATCTCGAGCTCTCTGGCAATTCTGTCGCCGCCAAAGTCTTCTGGACTGAGATCACTTTCCCGGATAATTTGCCAGCATATGCCCCTTTTGTATTGCCAGTGTTGCTGAAGCGCTTCACTGTTGCCATAGTATTTCAAGCAAACCGGGCATGTGTCTCCTTTTGCATAGTAATACTGTGCAGAAAAGACCTCATGCTGTCTATGCTTGTGCACTCCAAGGGCTTTCAGTGTGCCAAGAACCTTATCACAGAATTGGCAACGAAAGGAACCTTTGACTGCTCTCTGCACATTACCATGCGTCTGCTCGAAAGAGGTGACGCCAATTTGTCTCAGCATCATAAGTGCCTTACATTCGAACTCATAGGCTTCCTGAAGTCTTTGAGCATGGTTACGACATGCTTTTCCAACCTGTTTGAGATGCGTCTTCCATTCGATCCCTCTGTCAGCCAACACTGTGGCAAGACCTTGGACCTGTGAAACCTCAGGAATACACAACCAATCTGGACACAGACGATTCTCTCTGAGCCAAATCAGGTCAGAATAAAGCATATTATGAAGCCAGTTTGATTCAACATCCAAGATTGCCCAAAAATCTGCATCGGCAAACTGACAAATCTTCTGAAATTGCCGCAACCTTTCTATTCGCAGTAATTGCCGCGGATGCAAGACTCCTAGTTTGGCCACAATCTTCTCATTGGAGGCTTCCTTCCATTCATGTCCATGCAAGACAACTGCTAGAGACCTCAATAGTCGGAATGCAGCAGTGTCAAACACCTGCCATTCTTGCTGCGTTGAGAATGACCCACATGATGCGGTCACAGGCGATACTTGCTAATTCTCTCAGAACGGAACGGATCTGGGTGTGACACTAGTACACAGAGGTCATCAGCCCATACTGGAAGACATGTGAATCTTCTACTGTCCAGCTGAACAACGAGTTCTAACTCGTTAAAATCAGACTTTAACTGTCTGATTACACTCCCGAATGCAATTGACCACAAGAGATCTGCCAATGGGTCTCCCGGACGCGTCCCAGTCATGGAACAGGAAGGCATCCCGTTGACTCCCATTGTAGTCCATACATCTTCAAAGAGTGATTGGATGATGTTGCCAATCTTGGTGGGCACGGAACACTGTTCGAGTGGGCAGCGGGCTGAAAATGCCTCTCCTATCTGCTGCTACATGTGTTCCGAACATGGCATGCGACCCAGGAAATCTCGTTGCCTATCTAATGGCCACTGACTGAACCATAACACATCCCGAGCCATCTGGTAATAAGCTTGCTTTGCATCTAGGAATATCACCATTGAGCTGATTTTCTTCTGATGACAGGCACCCTGGAACAACCGTACTGCCTGCGCTGGCAGGGATGTTGGCATGCCTCTTCTAGCTCCTCCTTGTAACGGGGATGCAAAAGACTCGAAATAGGGCATCAGTTTCTCACGGTATGCTCGATGTGTCATTTTTGCAAGCCCCTCTTGGAGACTGATCTGCCTCCAATCCTTTGCGTGTGGTGAGATTCCATTACTCTTCGGGATCGGCACGATTAAGCTGCCTTGCCACTGTAGCGGCTCTTCAAACCGAAGAACAGATTTCAGCACAAGTGGGTAGGCTTTTCGCGCGAAATCTGGTGCAGCGCTCCTTAGAAGATCAATTGGTATTCCAGACAGCCCTGGCGCTTTCTTTCTGGAGCGCTTGCTCACACTCCTGAAGAGTGGGAACATCTGCCGAGGTAAACACGTCTTTTGATTGCGCACTATCCTCAAAGCGCTGAAGTGCTTTCTCTTGGTGTTTGTGCTGCAGGGCAGTCGGATCAACAAAGTATCCTCTTTCAGATTCTTGAAAATGCTTTTCCCAGATTTCATAAACCTGTAGAGGCGTATTGGCCACCTCTCCGTCTGGCATTTGCAAAGCAGGCAAACTGAACTTGGTCTTGTACTTACGCGATTTAGTCAACCTTCTAAGCCGCTGGAAGAGGTGATCGAGTCCTTCTTTCGAGGCTGCAGTGACCGAATCTGACACATATGCTTGCAACTTATGCTTTGCAACATTCTGGTACTTTCGCATCAACTCTCTCGCAAAATGCTCGAGTCGTACCTGGCATCTACCTCCTTCCGAATTCCAGCTGCGAAAGTCCGGCAGAGGACAATCCTCATGCTTATGGCACTTCCATGCTTGAAAGAAGAACCATGTCTGGCAGAATCCACGAAATGCTTTCAACTGTTTCAGCCAGCGTCGTGCGAGACGCCTCTGTCTGACCAACTGGATAGCTTCTTGGTCGAGGAAAGGTTTCTTTGGCTGTTTCTTCTGCTGAGGAAAATGTCGCAACATAGCATTGCTCACATGATCTTCAAGCATCTGCGCATGGGAAGTGGCATCAACTTCCCAGGGAATTTGCGGAATTGACAATGCAATTTGTTTGCAAATGGCCTCTCCTACCGGCGTGTTAATGATGTCAGTATCAACACGAGGCTTTTTTTCTTTGATAGGCTACGGAAGGTCTTGCTAATCCATGTCTTGAACTCTATCCCCACTGGCAGATGGTCGATTTTATCGCGGCCAGTATCGAAACAGCTCAAGTCAATACTAATGCCACAGGATGCAAGATCTGAAGAGGTGGCAATGTAGTCGAGACATGATCCACCTTGAACTTCATCTGCATCGACCGCAGTGGAGTGGGACCACGTAAACAGAGCTCGGCCTTCATCATCTTCTCGAGTCCGGATGACTAAATTTTCTGTTTGCAGCCAATCAAAGAAGAATTCTTCCGCGGGTGAACTGACATTATAATTTGATCGGCTGGAACATAAGTCTCCTGGTCTCAAGAGCTGTGCATTTATTGCGTCTGCAAGAGCAATAACATGGTGACTGGTAGGAACAGTCCTTCGGACGGACTTGGTTGTTTTGGACCACCAGAGTTCCTGCGCTTCCTCCCCTAGGTGGTTACTTGGTGCGTGCAAGGCAACCAATGCGAAAGGAACATTTCCAGCGGCTATGGTCACAATGAGCAGCCTTGGCTCTCGCACCTTCACCATGGCAGACTGAATGTCCCAGCCATTCTGTTGTCCTTTTCCTTGTACGATGGTTTTCTTGGTATGAAGCCAAAGTTCACACCCGAAGTTACCATGCTTGTCT